GTTACCAACGCGATTCATCATAAAAGACACATACAGTAAATATCCACATATTGTTTGCTCAGATTTGTTGTGGGTGTTACTATCCAGGCAAAGGCACAAACAATGACATAAGTTAAGACTGTTTAAGTAAAACTGATGGTTGTCTTAATGATATAGTTTTATTTCTCGTTGCATGGTCAGCTAGTTCCTAGCACTCACTGTGTTGGTTGATGTGCTCTAAAGTGTTGCATTAGGTTGGAATTATTGATAAAATTTGTGTTGCTTGTGCCATTAAACTCCATTAATGCTAGTCATGTAAACATGTTCTAAATCAATGCAATATGTTATTATGTCTGACATAACTGACAAGCTTACTGCATGCAATAGTATGTCAAACATTATGCAACAACATATTTTAAACAACAGTATTCTACACTGCAGTTTTAGGTGAACATATTTTAGCTTTACAAGTGTCTAAATGTTTTCCCTGTATTTTGAATGAAGCACTGCATTGTGTTATGTTTTAAGGTTAAAGGAAATGTCCATAAAATGAATGGATAATGTTCTGGCAGGAAATTAACAGTACATTTTCTGTTTTCTACTGGCTTTTTTCTTCACAATGTACATCTAATCAATTCATAAGTTTAAAAACAGTTACAAAGAAAGGAAAAATTGCAGCCAATTCCAGGTAATTTGAGCACTGAAATTACACATACAACAGAATTAGCAATTGTAGTATGGTAGTATGCTATTGTAATTCTGAATATAGCCGCATCAGCCAATTGACGATCGCATATTTTAAACACATTCCGAATAATACTCCTAGACATCATGCTACTACAGTTAGTCTACAGTTATGGTCATGGTCATAGTTGGAAAGAGAAACATTTATGTATGAACTTGCTTGGCATGACTTTCCATGTTATTTTACTGTCTGACCAGCTGAATCATACTCCTGCTCATGCAGGATGATTTCCAGTAAGTCTTTCCTGATGCTGATCACAGACAATGAGATTACCTCTGTACACAGAGCTCAAATTACCTCAAAGCCTCCTAGGACAGGATATGGGCAGTCATGCTACTTCCTGTCCAAGGCTGAAAATTATTCAGAAGCCTGTGATGGTTGCCTTTTTGTGCAGTAATAAAGCACTGGAAACCTGTTCTGTCATGTCGATAATTGTAAGTATTGTTTACAGACAATTATTATTAATAATCAAAAAATCTGCCAAAATATGTTAATTTGCTATGTTCTGAATAGTACAGTAGTATGCAGAATATACTGCAGCTATAGTAAGATTTTTTTTTGTATAATAGAATATTACGTTTTCCAAAATTGCAGTATAGAAGAGAAACTTTTTGAAATTTTTTACATTTCTTTCTTAATAACTGCCAAAATTCAATTGAAAATATGTTAACATATACAATTTTTATTGCTGAATAATGCGTATTGTTTCACTTGTATACTGCATAATATTCATTAAGTAGAAAGACAGTGGTTTGATCAAACATTTATTGATCAAAAAGATAGCCCTGCCTCAAACCATTGGTTAAAAATGTTGCTATGATAGGCTATGATAGGCTGGTAGATGCTCAGTTTAAAAAAAAAAAAAACACCACAGAACAGTTTTCACGTTTTAGGGAGAATCAACCTACAAATGGCTACTTAGTTGCATAGTAAGCTGGGAAAGTATTTGAAGTATTTGTATACTGAAAAAAATTACACACCTAACCTTAAATAAACATATTTGGATTGCAACTGATAATTCTGACATGCTTACTATGAATTCTAATCTAATCTATTCTCTCTTAAACAGGAAACATTCTTCCAGACTTCAAAGCAGACAACAATTTCCATATTTCCAACTTACAATTCTGGCTGAACTAAAAATGATGAGCTTTGCATATTAAAAGAGGCTTCCGATTTCCATTTCATATTTATGTTCCTACAATGAAAATGCCCATTCAGCAGACAGACTCTGGAAGTGAGTGTTACTACAGGTGGAAGCAAATCATTCCACTGTCACTTCCTTTGTTGTCTGAGCCAGTCAAATCCGCACAGGGACTTATTTCTCATCTCTTCTGACCCATCTCATTCTCCATCCTTCTCTCTTCTTGTCTTCTCTCGCTCCATCTCACTTCCCCTCTCGTCTACCCGGTACTCTCATTTGCCTTTCTCCTCTCACTCCGCCAACCTGCATTACCATGCATTAGATCAAAGAGCAGTGGGGTGGACTGTGCTTTTCACAGGCAATCTTACACACACACACACACACACACTCATGTGACTAACACACTCAGTCCGATCTCATGACACAGCTCTCTAAATTATCAGTTAGGGTGGGATAAACAAACTGCATGTTTCCTAGCAAAACTGACTTGCATTTACTGTATCTTTCATAAATGTTTAAACTTTTCCTCAGGATAAATTCATTTCAAAGTTTAGAAAGAATGACTTGGATTTTATTGCTTTGCATTTCAAATGAAGCATTGTTCTCAAACCTCAATGATGCAATATGATTTTGAAGGTTTAACGATAACCTTGCTATAACGTGTGCAGTGCTCAACAATAAAACATTTATTTTAATAGTCACACCATTTTTAACTGGTCAAAAAGATCTCTGTAAGGCATTAAAACCCATAAATATGATCAACAAATGTAATATTTTGTGACACAAGCAGGCCAGGGTTATTAACTAAAACTAAAATAAAATAAAAAATTAAATATTAAAAAAAAAAAACTTACAGTTATTTAATTCAGCTTGTTGGCAAGACAACATTTCTCTTCTTCTTTTAGTTTATTCCTTAAAATAACTACAACTAAAACTGATATAAACATTTATAATATAGGCATATTTAATAAAAATGACAAAAACAATTTTGTTTGTTTATTGTGGAGCCCTATGTGTTATATGGTTTACCGTAAAACCTGAGCAAACAAAACACAAACATACAAACAGACAGGTGAGAGGTGTTTGTGACACGCAGGGGTGTGAAGTAACGTACTTTTACTTGAGTATATTTTTCCACCACTCTTTCCACCACTGGTGACATGACACATTAATTACTACTCACGTGTTTATCGCACACTTTTCATCTTTTCATCAGGTTTTCTAATCATTGTCTTCAAGACTACTAGAAGGCTACAGGCAGGTGAGTCATATCAGGGTTGGATCAAATCTCTGCAGGAAAGTGGCCTGGAAGGGCCAAGTTTGCCCATCACCCTGAGCGGTGAACTAATTTTCGGCAGCCGGAATTTCGGTGCATCTCAATTATTGGCGACATCAGAAATGGATATTATATAATAGATGCTTTTTTTAACATTTTAGCAATTTAAAAATATTAAAAAAGGATTTTTTACACGGCACTCCTGCTCTCGACAGACGGCACCCCGGTTGGGAAACACTGGTCTAGACAGTGCAAGAGATTTTGCTCATCTGTTTGCATGTCAGTTTACAGTGACAGACTACAGAATAACAGATTACTTTTTTTACCATTTCAGTTACCAACCAACAAACTGAACATAAACCATTGAAATATTGTTCCAAATTGTGTCTAACATATTTATTATAACATTTAGTATGTTTATGTTTATGTTTATGTTTTGCAGTAATTGTTTTCTATTGTAAAATGTCCTTAACCTTACATGCTCGCACATTTAACCCACTTACTAAGCTTGACAACAGTATTTGATTCAGTTACTGAGCAAATCTCTTTCTTTAACCCCCAACAGCTTGGACAGTTGGTTTAGAATGTACTCTTGCCTATACTGAGTGCTAAGTGGCTTAAAAACAGGTCTAATCTGTGTAGGAATGACATACAGTAACCTATCGACTGAACACGTCTATGAAAACGATTGGATTATATAACAAAACAATGTAGAGCAACAATGTTACTTTGTTTATGATGGAATTTGATGTATTTTTTTAAATACAAACCGCATTTCAGCCTTTAAGCCACTTTCAATTAATAAAGTATAAAATAATTTTAAAGTTTTATACTTTTGAATGATTTTTCCCTCTGTAAACAAATAATAAAAGAGGTCAAACTAAATGATTTATCACAAAATAAATAAATAAATAACATTTTAGTCAAAATTAAGCTGGATAAGCTAGATAAGCTAGTTTGGGAGTAGTTCATTCCCACAAATTACAGAAAAATAGGTAATTGATCATTGTTTTTACAGTAACTAACTGGTTATTACTAGGTTATTACTACCAGTTGATCTTGACTAAAACATTACAAATTGCCCAAAAAAATCACGATTTTAAGAGAGGAAATACAATTATTATTTGTGCAAAAAATAGATTTTCATGTTATTTTATGTCAGATTTTAGATTGTATTTTAGATTTAGATTTTATTTTAGATTTTTATTTGAGTTGCATGTTAGATTTTCTCTGATTATTTTATTCTATGTTAGATTTTAATCAAACATATCTAACAGTTCTTAAAACTAAAATATGGGATTTGTGATATCTTGAGGTGCTTCTAATGCTTTAAAACACACACACACACACTTATGGGACGTCTTACATTGACAAGTGTGCAATACTAAACTGCACATTTATTTTATCATTCCATTTATCCACACCTGCCCTCCGCGCCTGCGCAATACCTTTTAATTCATTTAAGCTAATTTCCAGTTTTGATATTTCATAACACCGCTGTGATTCTCAGTCATGAGCTCAGCCGGTGTCATCATTAGGCATGAAAACATAACAATACTGATTTCGTTTGAGAATTCAGGTCACAGTAAGACGGAACTGAACCGCAGTAATAACTTAAATTTCGAAAGCCTGAGATTAGTAACTGTAAACACCGGTTGTGTCCATATTGCTAGCTCTTTCCATATTCACAGACAGGCTTAAAAGTGATGCACCCACGCCTTGAAAACGGACAAATGAATATCCAACATGTTATTTCTGCTTTAAAGTACAAAAATGTGTATCGGAAGCAGTGCAGCCCTTCGCAATAGAGCAAACCAGACCAACAAGTTGGAGAGAGTGATAACGTCTCTACTCACGTATCGAGTGATGAGGTTCCGAATGGTGCTGAAATCCATTCTGCTCGAGCCGCTCCAGGTGCGCTGTCTTCGGTTTCTCCTCTAATCTTGTAGAATGGGCACATAAGACGCTAGCTGATCACTGTAGCAAGTCTCTGGTCCATGACTGTCTTCTACGGCTTCTTCTAGGCTTGACAACTGACAGTCCTACACGACTACCGCGAAAATGTTATCTACTGAGCACCTACTGAGATGAAGAAGGCTAACTTACTATGTAAAGTCCACACGTTGTCATAGTGACATGCTCCGGTTTCACCTTACATACACACGGACTGAGGAAAAAACAGCAAGCTCTCGTTTTTCAAGGTTTTGCCTTAATATTTTAAGGGACCGGCCACTTCTTACTTGTCAAGCGTCCCTCAGGGCTGTTCTCTGGTGTACTGACGTACTCACTGTCCTTCTCGGTGTAGTAGTGCTCTCCCGACTCCCCGTCTGTTTGCGTCGGAACGTCATGAGCCCCGTGAGCGCAGGCGCACTCTTCTGCTTCACCCACCCGCCCACGGTGATTTTTTCGGCCTGCCCTCCGGTCACTCCCCCATCCAGCTACTGCCAATCAATCTCAGGCAACAAACCGGTTTAGGGTGATGACATGGCCTCTCAAGTGTTTTAGGACTATGTGGGGTGACTTGACGACTGCAAAAATATAATAAAAAAAAAAAATTACAATAAAAAATGAAAAATTATTGGGAAATAGTAGAATAAATAACTAACAACTACAATAATAACAGAAACAAAAATAATAAGTAAGTATTTTCAGGGAACACACATACTGGTAAAAAATGTATAGCCTGAATGCACTAGATGTTATCCCTGTTTTATTTCTCAATGACATGCAAGCAAACAACCAAATAAAGGATTTCAAGAAAAGAAAAAAAGGTATTCACTTCCTTCCTGTCACATGAGGCTGTCAAGTTCCTACCCCTACTTCCAGGATGTAGTAATGTAATTTTCATGTTACTAATAAGTATTTTTTTGTTGACATGTATATATCTACATAATCATGAAGGTCTCTAGAATCATCCAAACAAAACAAATCTTACAGGAGATCTATAGTTTTTTGTATACTTTAGTTGCTTAGTTACTATAGTTGCCAGTGGGCAAATGACTTGTAAGTACATATCATGGGGAAATGGGGTTTTCAAGTTTTCAAGTGACAGCAGCAGTTTGCAAACTTCCGTCAGTAACACAAAAGGAAGAATGGAAAAATAAAGAGCTAACGCATGCGATTAATTGCTGTAGATGATCTTTTTCTCCCTTTTATGACATTATATCTTGTAAGGGGCAAAATATTGAGGCCATAGCCTGAATGCACTGTAAGTCGCTTTGGATAAAAGCGTCTGCTGAATGCATAAATTATTATTACTATTATTATTAAATTGTTTTTATCATTATTATCATACTATTATCATAATATTGTCATCATATTATCATACAATTATCTTAATAACCCATTTAAGCCCACCGGCAACTATAGTTGCCACAGTTTTTTATGACATTATATCTTGTAAGGGGCAAAATATTGAGGCCCCTTTATCCAGTTTGGATGCGTTTCATTCTAATTGGTCAAGGACCCTAATTACTTTTATGACTAATAGCTTATGGTTCCATTATAATGTTGAAATTCAGACAAGTAATGAGTTTACATTTACATTATTATATGAAATCACCTACTACAGTCAGCCATTGAATACTATGGGCCTAAAAAATGCGTAATTTTCTTTCAGGTATACCTTTTTTTATTATATAGATGTAATAGTTTCTTTATTCTATTTATTTATTTTCATTTAACTAACACACCTCTAAGAATGAAAATACCTGCATGTTCAATAATAAGTAAATAAATAAACAAACAATCATGGGTGTAGCCTACACATGATAATTATTTAAATAAGCATATATTTTAAAAAGAATATCATTAATTTCATGAATATCAAGGACTTTTCTCAGGGTTAATCCATTTGACCTAATCAATATGTGCCTATTCATAAAATGTGTGATATTGTGATATTACATATTTACATAACAAAGTATAGTATGCAAATATGTTTATGTAAATTTATAAAACTACTTGTACCTTCACTGCTTACATAAGGTAAAGTTCACCCAAAAATGGAAATTGTGTCATCATTTAGTCACCCTCAAGTTGCAAACCTATGAGATTCTTTCTTCTGTTGAGCACAAAAGAAGATATTTTGCAGAGTGTTGGTAACCAAACAGTTAAATGCGTAATTTTCTTTCAGGTATGCCTTTTTTGTTATATAGATGTAATATTTTCTTCATTCTATTTATTTTTATTTGTTTATTTTCATTTAAATTTTTGATACACAATACCCTGCTGGGGCAACTTAATGGCTGCACTTTGTTCTGCACTAAGTTCCACCACTTTAATACAAATGAATTTGTTGTGTTTTCATATTTAAGAGATTATAAGATATAGCAGCCTTTTTTGGGTTTGCATCGAATGTTCTTCGACTTTAATGCATAATAAATTTGTTTATGAATAAAGATTGATCTGTTAAAAGCAGTTATTTTGAGTTAGATGCCAAATGCTCTCCTCCTGTACAAATTTGACATTGAAGGGGTGAATACAACATATTTGCCCCCGGCAACTATAGTTGCCGCACATTCAAATACGATTTTCAAGAAAGAAAAAAAAAAACCTGGGGAAAATAAATGCAGAACATGTTCACATAGGACACTATTAACATGACTGTATGCATGAAACCATTTAGAAAAATTTGGGCACAAATGGGTTTACCATGACACTCTTACATAAGGTAAAGTTCACCCAAAAATGGAAATTGTGTCATCATTTAGTCACCCTCAAGTTGCAAACCTATGAGATTCTTTCTTCTGTTGAGCACAAAAGAAGATATTTTGCAGAGTGTTGGTAACCAAACAGTTAAATGCGTAATTTTCTTTCAGGTATGCCTTTTTTGTTATATAGATGTAATATTTTCTTCATTCTATTTATTTTTATTTGTTTATTTTCATTTAAATTTTTGATACACAATACCCTGCTGGGGCAACTTAATGGCTGCACTTTGTTCTGCACTAAGTTCCACCACTTTAATACAAATGAATTTGTTGTGTTTTCATATTTAAGAGATTATAAGATATAGCAGCCTTTTTTGGGTTTGCATCGAATGTTCTTATTAAAATTGATTTTAAAAAAAAAAAAAAAAAAAACCTGGGGAAAATAAATGGAGAACATGTTCACATAGGACACTATTAACATGACTATATGCATGAAACCATTCAGAACAATTTGGGCACAAATGGGTTAATTAAAAATAAAAACATTTACTGTATCTATTACACATTATAAGATCATTATAATTTCATTATTTTTATGTAATCAAGCTAAGAATGATAAATATAATGTATGTTATATTTTTGAATAATAAAATAAAATAAATGAATAAAATAATTTTTAAAATAAAAATAAATAATGATTGATATTATTATATAATAATTATTCATCTAAATTATTATAAAAATATCAAATTAGTTAAATTATTAAAATTATTAAGTAAATAAATTACATTTCTAGCCATTTATCTCTTTACAGCTTTTAGTAAAAAAAACAATATTTTTTATTGATGCAGTCAAAAATATATCAGTACAATTCATTTAGCTAACCTACTTCTACTTTACACATTTATAATAATAATAATAATAATAATAATAATGATGATGGTAGTAGTAGTAATCATAATCATCTTCATCATCATCATCATCATTATTACATAGAATATCAAAAATTAATATAATAATATTACATCATAATTATTCAGATAAATTATCGTGCAGTTTGTATTCAGATTTTTTCATTTTATTCCAGTAATGGTCTTGTTTATAGTCCTGTGCACCATTCAAGCACGTATCAAAGCTGATTAATTACCCCTTTACAGTTTTTAGTAAAAGACAACATTTTTGATTATTAATGGCTTTAAACAATCAAACTATATAATAATAATAATTATTATTATTATTATTATTATTGTTATTATTGTTGTTGTTGTTATTATTATTATTATTATTAGTAGTAGTAGTAGCAGCAGCAGCAGTAGTAGTAGTAGTAGTAGTAGTGGCATTATTATTCATTTTCAACATGTTTTATGATATTTTGCGCTTAAGTAACGTTTGTAGGGAGGAACTTTTTCCGGAGTCTTATTTTACAGCCGGCTGTGTTTCCGCTGCGCACCACTGCTGTGTTTTCCGTTGACTGTCCGACTGTGGGGCGCTTTTCGGCGGGTTCCGTTAAAATGGCGCTGTTGTTGCCAGGAGCTGAAACCCAGCAGATGAAAAGCGACAGCGGTTAAAAACATACCGCGGACCGTTTCTGCTCGCACGGAGGGTAATATATACGTGCACAATGGCGGCGCTTGATCAGAAGTCACCCAACGTGCTTCTACAGAATCTGTGCTGTAAGATCACGGGCAAGAGTGAAGGTAAAGACACATCTCATTCTGTCATACAGCTGCTAAAACATGATTAGCATGTGTAGTGATGGACTATGCTGTGAGTTTCGTTGAAAACGGACAATGTGATGTGATATGATAATGCATGTGATTGAGGGTGAGATGCTGTAAGAGGACAGGCTGGGAAAACATCAGCGAGGTGCTGGATAAAACAGGGCCCCTGTTTCAAATGGCCCTTCATGTCAATAAAGACCCTGATGCTTCGAACTCAAGCTATTATGCCATCTTTTATCAGCTGTCATATTTCAAATGTATGTATGAATTAAATCCTAATCTGAAGGAAACACAGCTCAGAGAGTCCACAATAGACATAAACAGATGAGAAACAGACATTTCACTTTAGAATAGAGTGAAGAAGAACATTTATTGTTGGACATGAGCAGTTCATCATTGGACCTAGAGACTGTAGAAACAGCAGACATAACAGAATATGATCCCTGCTTTCAGTTTCCAAAAAGAGGAGCTAATGCCTGTATGTATAATCAGATTTGCTTGTGTATTTTCTGTTATTGTTCTCAGCTGATGTAGCCCATCAGTTCCAGTATGCAGTGCGGGTCATCGGAAGTAATTACGCACCCACAATTGAACGGGATGAGTTTCTGGTGTCTGAGAAAATTAAAAAAGAATGTGAGTAATCTGAAACCCTGTCCTTACGTTATTCAAGAGCAGTTGTGCATTCAGGAGGTTTCGTAGAACATGCTGTGCAGGGTCTGATTTTTTTTATCTGTTTGGTGGATCAGGAGGATAGTAGTTCCAATTTATATGATATATATGATATTGCATGGCATGAAATTATGCAAACAACCATCAATTGTAGTGATAATTAGAGATTGACTGCTAATCAGTTTTACCTCATTTTTTTTCCTGATATTTAAGCATTTTTTCCTTATTTGCATACCATTTTTTGTAATATCAGATCCATGGATAAATGGCTTATAACTTCCAACAGAATGGCCACTCTATATACAGTTTAACCAGATCCACTTGTTTAAAGGTTTCTAAATTCTATGAACATTTTCTGTTAATTTCACTATTAATTGTCATTGACATACATATAGCTCTGTGGAAAATAATTTATTATCTCTGTGAGTGATTGCGATCTCCAAGTATAATGCATATAGAATGGGGCAAAATACACTTGTTTTATGCAATAAATGCTTTTAAAAATGTGTTGGGTGATAGTCAGAGTATTGATAAGATGTGCATGTCATTTGCTGGCAGATTGCCTGTAGATGTGCTACTCGTTGTAAAACAAAAAATATCATAGTTAGCAGGCATTTCAAAATCTAGACCAACAAAAACATTAATAATTCCGATAGCATGTCATTTGAAATGGACCATAATGTATTTACTGTTTTGTTTGTTACTTTTCTGACAATGTATAATTATTCCAGTGAATTAGCTGTCTTTACTCCTTAGCCTAATAAACAATGCTTAAACCTTAATTTGATTAAAATTACAGTTATACAAATGTAAAACAAATTACATTTATGCAAAGTTTATACACTCCTGTGTTATTTATGTTTTATGTCTGAAATTGTTAGACTTTGTCAATTTATTTTGCCTATTGTTTATTTTTCTGCAGTTGTTATTATAAAAAAAACTAGGAAAGTTTTTACTCAAAGTATAGTAATGGACATTATTTTTTTTAAAGCAAATATCACTTTAAAAGGTGCTATATAATTGTTATTTTTATTTCTTTTATTTTTTATGAAATAATATTGTATGTTGTTAAATTATTGTATACAATTCATTAAAGTATTAATGTGTTATTAAGATTATTTTAAATCTTTATTTTTTTATTTAGCCTTGAATATAGTCTTTGCTGAGATGGCATAAAATGGTAAATGAATTAATAAATACATAGAATAATTTAACAAAAACAGAATTTTGCATATTAGTTATTGGACATATAAACATAGAAATAATTGGTTATAGAAAAATCAATATTGGTCGATCTCTAGTGATAATGCAATATGGGCCCAATAGTGCTAGTGATAGTTCTGTCAACAGCCCCTAAACTCATGAGGCCATTCTTTAATATTTCTGGTTTATATGTTTCAGATGCAAAATAATATATTTTTTTCTTATTTATTGTAGTATTAAAACAACGACGGGAAGCAGATGCTGCCCTTTTTTCTGAGTTGCACAGAAAGCTTCAGACCCAGGTCGGTATCCAGCTCATCGCCAGCACATTGAGTCCTTATTATTATCATGATACGTGTAGACTAGATATAATGAACTGCATATCGTATGGTTATATTTGTTGATGTATTTGTTTCTGGTGAACAGGGTGTATTGAAACATAGATGGTCCATCTTATACCTCCTGCTCAGCCTCTGTGAGGACCCAAGGAAGCCGTCTAACCGTGTTCCTGTATGTTCCGGAGATGTTTCTCCCGCAGTTATTCTGCAGATACTACACAGTAACATAATGAAAATCATTCTGCATTATGTATAAGACAGAGTTTCTTTTTTCCCCTACACAGGTGTGTAGTTATGGAGCTCTGCTTGCCCAGGCTTTGCCCCGTGATGTCCACTCCACCCCGTTCTACTACGCCCGTCCCCAGAGCCTCCCGCTTAGCTACCCAGAGCGCTCTGCGACTGCCCATAACTCCAGCATTGCTACCAGTGGCATCAGCAGTATGGGAGTATTCTCAATCAATGGGCCTGGACCGACCCCTCCATCTCTGCTCACTGGGTGAGTGACAGTGATGGACTGACTTTTCCATACATTGACCATTGGCTGTCAAGCTCCAAAAAGGACAAAAATAGTACCATAAAAGTCACATATACCACATTGCACCAACGTAGCTATCAGTAATGCCAGTCGACACTGATACTATTGTCTTGTGATCATGTGAAAGTGAAATTGGTGTTTTTGGGTTTTTAGGCTTTATGATCATTCTAAAGAATAACTAAATTATTCTTAAGAATTTCTCTTTTTGTGTTTAATGGAAGAAAGTTATTCATACAGGTTCAGAACATTATTTACAATGAGAAAATAATTTTTCATTTTTGAGGTGAACTATCGTCAAAATTAATTTTCATGTCGAACAGCTGCAACATCCACTGTGAAATACACCAATGCAAACACAACTGTTCAAAAGTATGGGGTTGGTACGTTTTTTTTTTTTTGAAACGGGTCTTTTATGCTCACCAAAACTTTGATCAAAAATACAATTTAAAATGAAAACTGTTTTCTGTTTCAATATATTTTAAAATGTAATGTATTCATGAAATCTGAATTTTCAGCAGTAATTACTCCAGTCTTCAGCGTCATGTGATCAGAAATCGTTGTAATATCTCTGAAGACAGAACTTTTTGTCTGTTTATGGGTAGAATTTGACTACAATCCATTAAGAATGGTTCCATTTCTCTGTTTCTGGTTTGTTTAAATATAAATATTTACAGATTATTTTTTCAGTAATTGTTTTTTGTCTACAAGGAAAATAATCATGTCCCATGTAAAGAGGTTTTCACTGCATGCATTTACTATACATTTCTAAAAAGTGAAGTTATTTACATGAGCAACACTAATTGCTCTCATTATATTAATTGAAACTGTTTATTACTGTAAGCAGTTGCATACTGTTGCATCACATTGCAATACACACTTTCATAAATTTTATTTATTTTGAATTGTTTTATTGTGCTTCATATAGTGCTTTATCACTGCAACAGCCTATGACAAAGCATATGGGTTTATTCTCTTCCTATCTTTTTTTTATTGAATTTTTTCAGTAATGCAGCTGTTGTATTTGTAGCATGTTTAATTGAACTGCCGTACACTCATCTATTATTAATGCAGCTGTCTAGCACCTGCAGCACTTAAGATATTTTAAATATGGCCATGTACTCAAAGCCATGAATTAATTGATTACTGGATCCATTTCACAGTAAATCTGTCAAACCAACAGCATCATTAAAGTGTCTGAACCTCAGTGTCATTATTTGTTTAAAGCTCACCGTTACGAAGTAATTAGTGAATTCCCACAGGTATTGCTAATGGGCATCAATGACGAGTTTCAAGAAAATGGGGTTTGAGGTGAAAATGTTTTTAGCAAAATGACAATGTAAACATTTTAGGACTTTTTTTTTTGAACACCTTCCTAGAATTTGACCTTCTTTAGTAGAGATTGGCTGTTAAATGATGAAATGCAGAGGTTTTCAGATAAACTTGAGTGTATTTATAAGAAAGTTTTGCCACTTATATCATTTTCAGACCTGGACCCCAGGCCGTTGGTGAGTCTATGAGAGGGTCTCGTCTAGCCTGGACTCTCCCGATCTCCAGTTCCCCCTCTGGGGCAGCTGCTGCCCCTCGTCCCCCCAGTGGACCCTCTTCCAGTCCGGCATCCAAACTCCCACAGAGACAGAGACGAGATGGAGATGGCAGTGGTGAGTGTCTGCATCAACAGTCAATGTTTTGTTAAAGGAAATGCTCAGGACATTTCAGGAAATAATTGTGTGATTATATACTAAAATAAATAAGGATAGTATTTTAAAATTATGTGCTGAACACCAGTGACAGGTGCCTGGGAGTTTTATGCAGTAGATGCTATAAATGTTTCACTCTGTAAACAAATCCTTGTTATATGTTTTTCAGTAGTTTTTAGACTACTTATGACTAGTTAATTGTCCTTTACATTTGATTTTTGTCCTTTAAGTGTAGAGAGAAGTAAGAACTATTTCAGAGGTGTTTAAAGGGGTCTTATTATGCTTTTTCACTGTTTCAACTTTAGTTAGTCTGTAATGTTGCTGTTTGAGCATAAAAAAGATCTGCAAAGTTACAAAGCTCAAAGTCTATTTGAGCCGTTCATGCCAGACTGGGAAGAGAGGTGTTGTAATAATGTAAAATATGTGAAAAATAATGTGTTTTTCGAACAACCTAGTATGAGAGCCTTTTCTAGTACACCCCAAAACAAAATCAAGACTTTGTAAAAGAGCATAATAGGACCCCTTTAAGATGCAGTCAGCCACATGGCACCTTTCTCTGTGACAGATTTGTGAGTGTGACCTTTACAGCACTTTAATTTAAATTATCCCTTTTCACTGTATTTTTCTATCTCCTCATCTGGCTCAAGCTGAGATCGGTGAGGATGCTCTCGTCCGAGACATTCTTTATGTTTTCCAGGGAATAGATGGAAAGTTCATCAAGATGTGCAGCCCAGAAAATTGCTACAAAATTGATTCAAAGGTGATTCTTTAGTAACTGTATCTTCCTTTCATTCTGGTCCTGTCTTTCTCTCTTTCATTTTTGTTGCTCACTCGCTCACATGCAGACTATATAACTACAGTAACTAGACTGTTCACGGTTACCGTGCAACGTACAGGAACAATCAAACAAAATTTTTCTGAAAGGTACTTGTCACATTGAGAGCTACTGGCACAATAACTGCTTCAGTCATGCCACAGATTGGAACTGAGATATATTTGTGATATCTAAAATATACACTATCATTTGTTATGAAGTTATGAATAATTTTATTCAGCATGGATGCATTAAATTGATCAGAAAGGACATTTATAATGTTACAGAAAATTTCTATTTCAAAAAGTCCTTTTGAAATTTCTATTCATCACAGAATCATGAAAAACAATGTGTCATGACTTCCACAAAAGTATTAAGCAGTACGATGGTTTTTAACTGATAATATTAAGAAATGTTTCTTGAGTAACAAATCAGCATATTAGAATGATTCCTGAAGGATCATGTGACACTGCAGACTGGAGTAATGATGCTGAAAATTCAGCTTTGCCTTCACGGGAATAAATTACATTTTAAAATACGTTAAAATAGGAAACGGTTCTTTTCGAACTCAACTATTTTTATTGTATTTTTCATTAAATAAATGCCTTGGTGTGCATAAGAAACTTCAAAAACAGTAGTGTATATTAGCATAAAATGATAAATGAAGAAAGAAGTTTGTTGTATAATTATGAATGGAGTGTGAAGTTTACGAGAATATGTTCACAATATTAGCTTGTTGTGTTCTTATGAAGCAGGTTTTTAATTACTCATTTAAGTGGCACCAAAAGTAAAAAGCCTATGCAGTTGAATTTTATCATAATGAACAGCAAATCAATCACTCAGCCATTCATAATGACTATATTGTGAAGAAAATGAACAAAGCAAGTAAAACGCAAGTTTTTGATTTATTGGCATAAAACACTACTTTTGCTAGATTTTTAAGTTCTTCGTTTATTTACTTACCCACTTCAGCTACACTGAGATGCTGGGAAAGTAATTATTAGCAGAATGTTCTAGTATAGCACTTCTTATAAAAGTACTTGTAATGTGATTTCTTATTACACAAACTTAAGTAGGGGCATCTGTAGTTACTTGTGTAAGTGCATAATGGGAAATATAGAAGCGTTGATCTCACCATCAGGCTCCCAAAGAAAAAGGGGTTATATCCTATAAATAGGTTAAATACTGTATGTTATTGCTCAAACGTTTGGGGTCAGTAGATCTTTTTTCTTTTTTTCTTTTTTTTTTTAAGAAATTACTACTTTTATTCAGCAAGGATGCATTATATTGATCAAAAGTGACAGTAAAGCCATTTATAAAGACAGTTATAATAAAAATGTTCAATTTCAAATAAATGTTGCTCTTTTCAATTAATCTAAGATGTATCAAGGTTTTCATATTAAACATATGAAGCAGCACAACTGTTTTCAACACTCATAATAATAAGAAATATTTCTTGAGCAGCATATTAGAATGATTCCTGAAGGATCATGTGACACTGCAGACTGGAGTAATGATGCTGAAAATTCAGCTTTGCCTTCACGGGAATAAATTACATTTTAAAATACGTTAAAATAGGAAACGGTTCTTTTCTGTAGCTTCTTTGTGTTCATCTCACTCGCGTTGATCTCACCATCAGGCTCCCAAGGCCTTTTCCTTTTTTTTTTTTTTACATTCCTGGCAGATGTTGACGGTGAATAATAGTTGATCGATCAGGTGTCCTTTTTAAGTGACACTTTTAAAATGGTGCGTCTATTTGTTTGGAAAAGAACAATGTGCTTTTTATGTCCAGTGTGATGTGCTGGATAAGCAGACACTCTGATGGGCCAGAGCTGTTTGTGTTTGTTCTGGCTGTGACGTGTATATAGTACTAAAACCATGAGACAACAGATGGAGAAGAATGCTTGAAGACCTCTCATAAAACCTAAAAATAAACCTCTATGTCAGGGTCACTTTTTATGCACTATATGATTATATAAAGCATAGAATCAATCTTAATATGAGGGCATTTCTTGAAATTTAGCCAGAAGTCATTAGTTTAACTAATCCAACTAATCTATGGATCATTGTTTTATGAACCTCATTTTGTTTTGCATATTTCCTTCGAGTTCTGTGAGAATCTGTAAGAAATCAACCCTTCGTAATGGTGTTCAGTCTGAGATTTGCTGTAGCTTCTTTGTGTTCATCTCACTTTGGGGAAGAAAAGTAAAAGAACTGGTTGTCTGTTTAGTAACCGTTTGCTTTGAAGGAATCTTGGTGACCTTTACAAGTGAACACTTAATCAAAGGTTAAAATGGGCCTTTTATTAAAAGCGATTAAAGAGTTTTTGTGTTGAATGGAACGGATGTCTCTCACAAAGAGCCAAAATAAGTGAAAGTCGAGATTAGCCAAAGCCATTTCTTCGAACTGATGAGATGTCTTTGCCACTGTGTCACAAGGGCAGATTACATACTGGCCAGTTCACAGACAGCCTACACTAAAACACACTCTGATTTCCCACACTTTTCCTACAGCAGATATTTTAGTTTAATTAAAAAATATAAAATAAATACATTTCAGTCATTTTGCCTATAGTCTGTTATTGTTGGGTAATAATACTCCTGCCGTGCATGTTGTAAGACAGTTAATAATTGTGTAGTTTGTCCTTTAGGTGCCACTGTGTAAGTCTCTGAGAGACACTAGTAGCAGGCTGGCAGAGCTCGGCTGGCTCCACAATAAGATTCGAAAATATACAGATTCCCACAGCCTGGATCGAGCCTTTGGCCTGGTCGGACAGGTAGGAAATGTGACACGACTGGAAATGAACATATCATATGTATCCTTAACCCTTACATAAATCTATATATACATATACATAGATAATACATTTTAAACTTTTATTTTTTTCTTTTTGGAAAGAAGTTAATACTTTTACTCAGCAAAGATGCATTAAAATGATCAAAAGTAACAGTAAAGACTTCTAAATTTTTACCATATATTCCTATTTCAAATCAATTCTGTTCTTTTGAACTTTCTATTCATCAATGTATCCTGAAAATTTTTTTTAACTGTTCTCAACATTGATAATAATAAGTAATGCTTTTTGAGCAGCAAATCAGCATATTTTAATGATTTCTGAAGGATCATGTGACACTGAAGACTGGAGTAATGATGCAGAAAATTCAGCTTAGACATCATAAGAATAAATAACATTTTTAAATAAATTAAAATAGAAAATAGTTATTTTAAATTTTAATAATATTCTAAGATATTACTGTTTTTACTGTATTTTTAACCAAATAAAATCATTAAAACCCCCAAACTGTTGAACAGTAGTTTGTAGCCAGGAATAATTATTGAATATCTCACACTATAATTTCAGTAACACTTTTGCTTGCTGTTTGTATTCTCAGAGTTTTTGTGCTGCATTGCATCAAGAGCTGAAGGAATACTACAGATTGTTGTCTGTACTTCATGCACAGGTGAGTATGGGACATCACTTGATGCGCAAGGGAAAATGTGGGTTTGACCCCGAGACATTCGTTTGCTCAAGCCTGAATTTTCCACCACTGGTTCCTAGCTGGAAAAATCTGCAAGATAATATAGTGAAATTTGATCAAACTGACACAAAGCCTTGGCCAATTTATGTACCCTGTCTGAAATAAAATGAATTTCTGACAGTTGCATCAAAAGCAGGTTGTGAAAAGCACACTGAATCAACCAAGCATGAGAACCAGCACTATTTCAGTGGAAAAGGGTGACTGACATCTATATGTGTTTAGCTCCAGGTGGAAGACGATCAGGGTGTAAACATGAGTGTGGACAGCAGTCTGACTCTGAGGAGACTGCTGGTATGGACCTACGACCCCAAGGTTCGGCTAAAAACACTGGCCGCACTGGTGGACTACTGCCAAGGTTAGTGATGACCCAACTCATTGATAAGGTACATACTGCAACACAATACATTTAAAATGTATGCAGCATTAATGTCAGACTCCTGATCATATTTCACAGTAATAAGGTGCGTTTAATGCAAAGATTTGATTTCCGATATCTGCCTCACCCTTGTTTCTCTCTCAGGGCGTAAAGGAGGAGAGTTGGCCTCAGCAGTACATGCATATGGAAAGACGGGTGACCCCCACATGAGAGCGTTGATCCAGCACATCCTTGGTCTGGTGTCCCACCCCATTCTTAACTTCCTGTATCGCTGGATCTACGACGGGGAGCTGGAGGATACGTACCATGAGGTCAGGATACACACACACACACACACACACACACTGCTTGTCTTTGCAAAGTCATTTCCAGATATCCTTGTTAGAACTTGCTGTATGTGTCCATGTGATTCATTACTTGAGCAGTTACTTTTGTAATTTGATTTTTAATAGTGTCTCTGATTTAAACTTCATAAGCAACATAAGATGTTGAAAAAGTTCAATTCGCTTCTATGAATCAGTTCAGACCAGTGTTATTTCAGGATTTTATGTATGCTATTATAGTATTTATTAATATTTTGACTTAGTTTTCATTTTAATTCTAGTAATTTTATTATGCTTTTGAAAATGTTATTAGCTTTTTTTATATATATTTCTGTTTGGCTTTAATTTTTATTTCATTTTTAGTGCTTCAAGTTTAGTATTGTTTGTATACTATTATAGTATTTATTAATATTTTGAATTAGCTTTTATTTTTATGTTTTCATTTAGATGTTTGTAATTTTATGTGGTTTTGTATTCTTTATTAGGTCTTATTTTTTAATATTTAGCTTTATTTTATTTTTATTTGTGTTTTAGTTTAATACTGCATCTTAAACATTTTATTTCATTTAGTTTTTTAAGTTGTTTTTCATATATAATTTATATTTGATTTGATTTGATTTTTAACGGTTATAGTTTTAAAGTGCCCCTATTATGGGTTATGAAAGGTTCATATTTTGGTTTTGGGAGTCCCCAACAACAGGTTGACATGCATGCAAGGTCAAAAAACACTTTCATCATCTTATAATATGCATTTATTTGGGGGAAGTCGTGGCCTAATGGTTAGAGAGTCGGACTCATAACCCAAAGGTTGTGGGTTCGAGTCTCGTACCGGCAGGGATTGTAGAAAGTTGAATGGTGAATGTACAGCGCTCTCTCCCACCTTCAATACCACGACTGAGGTGCCCTTGAGCAAAACCCCCAACTGCTCCCCAGACGCCGCAGCAAAAAAAATGGCTGCCCACTGCTGTGTGTGTGCACTTTGGATGGGTTAAATGTTAAATGCAGAGCACTAATTCCAAGTATGGGTCACCATACTTGGCCACATGTCATGTCACTTTTTCACTTTCTTTATTTTTACCTTACTTGCTCAACGACTCCCAAACGATTCTTTTAACAATTTATTTTTCCAAACCCCTCCTTTGCATGATGCTAATCTGTGGTGTGAAATTAAAACCGCCAGCAGGTGGCAGCAAATCACTCTTAATAAGTGAGTCATTGCGATTGAACCGAATCATTAAAACGAATCATGTTGCTCAGAGACACAAAACAGCGCTGTGGCTGTATTCGGCATGAGTAATGTATGCGTGTGGTCTGTAGGGATGTTTTGAATGGTTTTTGCAAAATACTCGATAATGTCAAATCGCACGTCGTTAAAACAACAATTACGATATTATCGCAGACGATATATATCGTACACCCCTAGTTCAGACTGTCCATTTTAGAATTTTAGTGATTCAAAAATCTGATTCAGCAATTTATACACATGCATATACAAATGAATGACAATAAACAAATATTTGCACAGACACACGTGCATGCAAATATTTATTTATCATTAATTTATATTTATATGCATACATATATTAATTTAGTATTAAAAAAACATGCCTTTAAATTTTTTAAATTACATTTTTACACTGTTTTTGTTTTTTCTTATTGTTCTTCCATTTTATATTTTGTAAGTACTTGGTAGATTTATAAAAAAAAAACACTTAATCAATACAAAGTTAATAATTAAATAAAAAAAATTAAACTATTGGACTTTGTTCCACCATATAATGGAAGCTGAACTCAGGCCAGTGTCCTCAAATTGACTCTGTTGACTTGTGCACTGTTGTGTGTCTGAGAAAACAGCTGCACTTGAGTGTGATTTAGTGTTCCAGACATAGTGAACCACAGTCTCCTACACACAGACACCCAGATGAGGGTGTGCTAATGGGCCCGTCTCCTTCCACTTCCTCTATGGCCTTCTGTCTCTTTCTCTCCACTATCACTCTCACATCTACTTCTCCTTGTCCTCCACCATTACCAAATGGTGTCAATGAATCTTTTTTTACTTAGTCTATGCCCACTCGACTGAGTTTGAAGTTGTCGGGCATAGAAGAGTTATCGCCCAATCAACTCCCAGCTTCCCCTTCACACAGGCACCAATCAGACACTCCTACATGTAATCACAGGATTTAATCTCACCCTCGCTGAAGTGTAACAGGCTTTTTCACAGTGTAAGCAGTGTTGAGGGTGGAGGCGACGGAGTGGGTTATATCATTAATGCACCCATCGACGCCGCTCTCCTCCTGGGCCAAAGGTTTACAAGCTCCTCGTTTCGCTCGCCATCGTTATTCTTGGCAATAGTCATTTTAATAGTTACCGTGTTGAAAGTACTGATGTGCTCTTCTGCTTTTGTTCCCTCCATCTGTGTAATTACCACAGAAAGGTCATTTGTGTGTGTCAGTGGAGGTCATTTATTTGTCTTTGAGCTGCAGTGATGTTTCATCAGTGTAAACATTAATATACAGTTGTGCTCATAAGTTTACATACCCCTAAGTCATGGATCATCCAGGAAATGACACGCAGTATTAAGATTCAAGGGTATGTAAACTTTTGAACGGGGTCATTTTTACAAATTCAGTTATTATTTTGTCTTGTGGAGTATATATAAACATCCGTTATGTGAAATGGCTTATTCAAGACAGTACTAAATAAAAAAATAACATGCAATTTTCATGTTCCCTCTTATTTTATGAAAATTATTAACATTTTGCATATTCTCCAAGGGGTATGTAAACTTATGAGCACGTGTGTGTGTGTGTGTGTGTGTGTGTGTGTGTGTTACAGGTAGTAGCATAAGAAGTTTCTTAAAACAAACAAAAAGTTAAGAACTCCATCTGACTATTAATACGGGTGTTCAGTTCTTTGTAGCCTCAGACCCAACAGTGAAGACGGACAGACTGTGGCATGACAAGTACTCTCTGAGGAAGAGTATGATCCCCTCCTTCATCACCATGGATCAAGCCAGGAAGGTACAGCACTTATACCATGATAGTATATCATGTACTTTACATTGACTTTGAGTTATAATCTGTGATGGCATATTGTAGATGGCATATTGTTATTGATCTATGAACAAGACTACAAAAATTAGATGTTTATGTGTTTTAAAGAAAATGTGAGCTGTGTTTTTCTGTGCAGAACTTGCCACAACAGTGCTGTTTTTTTATGGGTGGTTACTTGATAGTTGCTTATCAGCACTTGTCAAAAGATTCTATAAAATTTTATGTACAGGATTCTAATCCTTAAAAATGGCTTGGGACCTCCATCAGTATAAGTCTTGGGGACATATATGGAAGATAAGATTATCATACACAAAAAATTGAGTGATCAAATGAGCACAAAAATAATGTATTTGTTTACAATTAATACACTTAAATATTTATACATAATAAATTCTGATGTATATTACATTTATTATTTTAATCTATTTCTTATAAATATATTATGTTTGTGGTCATAATATATTTGAGCATAGGCAACATAATAACCATATAATATAATATAAAATTAACACAAAAATGAAAATAATTTATAATATATTTATATTATAGCATGCACAGTAAATAATACACTTATAATACATATAAAATATTTTGTTATACATTTATATAACAAATAATACATTTGTATGAAAGTGTATAATATTTTATGTATAAGATTTATACAAAAATTGAAGGGGGTCTGAATACTTTCCGTACCCACTGTATATAAACACATTTTAGTAAATAATATTTAAATATAATACGTATTAAATGATATATTACAAATACAGTATATTTTTATAAATATGTTAATAGTAGTAGTATGCTCATTTTGTTGCTCTCCAGGTAAAATGTGTACAATAAAGTATATAATAGCACACTTGTCCTCATGTTTGACCTGACCTATATCAACCACCCAGTACACACTAGGAAGGATGTGTATTTTGCACAGCCAAGCACCACTCACATTTTCTTCCAATTTGGTTGTTTAATGCAAGTCATTAACTAATAGTGATTCATTTTCAGACTAAAATGAGCCTATAATGATTTGTTTTCTTCCTTTCTGTCCTTCTCCAGGTGCTACTCATTGGCAAATCCATCAACTTCCTGCATCAGGTATGCCACGACAGGACGCCGCCGGGAAAGATCATGCCCGCCTCCAAATCCACCGACTCTCCCAAAGATGGTGAGCTAGCGCTAATGCAGTCACTTAAAATAGCTGTTTATGCTGTCTAATGCGATATTTGTGGCCATAATGGCAGCTAATAGTTAAATAACCTGCTGAAAGCGAGGGATGGAGAAAGTGGAGAGAGAAGGATTGATCTGTTTTGGAGGAAAGTGCTGTTTTTGACCGCCTGTCTGGTGTAGTTGTCCATATCGACGCTGGCTGTATTTAACTTCTTTGCTAGCATGGCTAATCAATGCTCTTAGGCTCTAGCATACATCTCTGTCCTTCAGTGTGTTTCTAGAAGGTTCTTTATTTTCTGGTGTTTTGTCCTTCTCTTTCGTTCTCTGCGTTGACTTTGTGTTTTACTTTTTCTGGCCTTAAAGCTGTTTGGTCTTTACATGTATATCCTTTGTATAACCTTGCAAAAACCATGTTTACCGTAATTTTGTAATACTTTTATAACACAGTCATTTAGCTATAGTTTATAACTTGTTTTACTGTTTTTCAAGTTTTCTTTGAATCTAAGCTTAGTTTTAGTTGGTTTCAGTGGTTTTAAAAGTTAAAGTTTTTGTCACTTAAGTGATTCTTTAACTATAGTGTTATTTACACATAAAATTAGTAAAATCTTTTTAATTTATGTATACAAAAATCACAGCTAAAAGAAATATTTTGCTGCTTGGTGGATGGAAAACAGGATGCTGAACGCTTGTTGGCAACAAAAATATTTCAGTTTCACAAATTCTGTTATTTTATTTTAGTTAGTTTTTCAACCCCTCGTTTTAGTTTCATTTCATTCCCCACCCCCCATTTTGTTTGTTTGTTTTTTGTTTGTTTATAAGTTTTGTCTTTATTCAGTTTTTTTAGTATATTGTAAATTTCTGGTAATGTTTGCCAAAAGGATTTACCAAAATTGTTTATTTTTATTTTAAGTCTTTCTTCTCATCTTTCCTCTTTTTCTTAATTTACCACTTTTATTTCCTCTCATGTTTTTACTTTTATTTAAAACACTGTGTATCTCTTTCTCAGCGGCAGAGTTGTTCACTGATCTGGAAGGGGCCTTTCAGAGTAATATTGATGCTGCATATTTTGAGACCAGTAAGTATCTGTTGGATGTGTTGAATAAGAACTACCAGCTGCTGGAGCATCTTCAGGCCATGAGGAGATACCTGCTGCTGGGCCAGGGAGATTTCATCCGACACCTCATGGACCTCCTCAAGTAAGTTTGTGTGTGTGCTCATGGGTGACCTGTCATTAAAGCATAGACGTCTCTGTTTTAGCTTGATGCGAGTGTGCTTGATTTCATTGTTGATTTATAACCGATCGTTCTCTTTTCTTCGACTCCTCGATCTCTCTTTATCTCTTGCTCTCTCTCAGGCCAGAGTTGGTGAGGGCTGCCACCACTCTTTACCAACACAATCTAACCGGTATCCTGGAGACCGCTGTCAGGGCAACCAATGCCCAGTTTGACAGTCCTGAGATACTGAAGAGGCTTGACGTCCGGCTGCTGGAGGTACGTAGAAGGGACTGAGTCAAAAAAACAAACAAAAGAAATGCAGGCTGATGGTACATTCTAGTACAAAATTGTGCATCACTGAATGTGGAGCTGGTGTCCTCTTTTGTCCAGGTTTCTCCAGGGGACACTGGTTGGGATGTCTTCAGTTTGGACTATCATGTAGAGGGCCCCATTGCCACGGTAAATAAACTCTTTTGGCATAAGCCCAAAGTTAACTTTGCTTATCCGAGTTCCGTCTTTTCATTCTGACATTTTGCGTGATGTATTTTTCCTCATCAGCACAGGGCGCTGAAGTCCACACTCACATCTGCATGCAGCATGATTTTTCTGATCACTTAAAGTTAGTCTTTACTGTTAGCCCATAATGCATTTGGGGTTTGACCTGGGAGAGATTTAAAACATTAAACACTAAATAAAAAAAAAAAAAATATTGCATCGTTTTAGCATTCTATTCTTGGTCTGGGTCTTGGAACCAGACCCTCCAAGTAGGTCTGGGTAGTATATCGAGTTTGTACGATATATCAACATATATTTTTATAAGCGATATGGTATGTCGCAATATGGTTTATATTGACATACAGTAGTTTGATACGAGTGCATCTAAATAATAGCAGTAGACATAGAGTGAGCTGCTGCGGGAAAAGTGCATAATCCAATTTGTCCTAAACATGAGACATGCTTTATATTAAGGGCTTTAAAATAACTCCTAAGATATAGTTAACATGTATAGTTTAAAGCGGCTCAGCCCGTCAGATGCTCTGACAGACTCATGTGCTGCTGACAGATAGGCTACTCGCACTGTTTAATGCGTTTGAGATGTGCTGGTTTCCTCAGTGCATAACTTACATTTCACAGGTATATTCTCCATCTGTAAACGTTAGAAAGTCATGGAAATATTTCCATTTTGCTGTCAGGATCCTTTTGCATGCAATTCTCCGCTACACTTCGCAGACTTCAGTGAATGAGCACCACCGCACGCATGCGTGCCAAACAGATGGAGCGCAATAGAATAGGAGCACAATAATTGTCATATGTAGAATTTTAAACCTACAAGTAAGTGTATTTTATAATAGCAGATAGCAGTAATGGGGTAATCAAAAATAAAATGCAATTAATCTGTGCTCTTGTGTTTATTTACTTACATTTTTAGTTTAGTGTGAATTTGAACTTCTGCTTTAAAAAGCATTATTTTTGTTTTTAGATTGTAATGTTACAATGTTAGAATGTAATGTGAATTTAGCCCGTTTTTTGCACAATGCATAGCATATGAATTACTGAAATAAATTAACTTTTCCACGACATTCTAATTTATTGAGATGCACCTGTATATATGATTCCAAATAGAAATTGTAGATAATGCCAAGATATATACTGTATATCGCATTTCAGACAAAAAATACATAGATATGATTTTTTTTTTTTTGGCCATATCGTCCAGCCCTACCTCCAAGACCAAGACTAGACCACTTGAGACTTAGATCCAGACCAATACTTATCCCTGAGACCCATACCAAGGGCTGTCCAAGAACCAACTAGTAAATTTCAGTGAGCCAAGTTGCTGAATTGACTGCAGCATTCATTTATAATGTTGAACACCTATTAACGAGAAGTTAATAGGTATCAACTGATACAATGTTTTTGTTGAAAAATTTCAAGTTATGACTATTTTATTAGCTTATTTTCCACCGGGTCAAAAATGACCCAGAATACAAAAATAGTTTGCAGGGGGGTTTTTTTCTGTTGATTTTTCATATATTATGATGTTGTGATGCCTAAATCACTTGTAGTCTTTAAAATGATTGATTTTAGTTTTTAGTGTTTCATTTCTAATTTATTTAGACAAAATGTGCAGCGTTTTAATATCAGGCATTAATCGGTTATTGGCCATGACATTTAAAATAATTATCAGCTTTTCAAAATGGGCCAGAATGCTATTATCAGTGCATCCCTAACCACAGTGTATGTCATACCTGTGTCAGGTGTTCACCCGTGAATGCATGAGCCACTACCTGCGAGTGTTCAACTTCCTGTGGAGGGCTAAAAGAATGGAGTACATCCTCACAGATATATGGAAGGGTCAAATGTGTAATGCCAAACTGCTGAAGAGCATGCCGGGTGAGTGCTGTTTTCATTCTGTTAGATGTTATAAAACCAACTTAATCTGTTTGCCACATCTACCTTTCTCAGCAGACAGATGAGATGTGTGCTGTGTATTTGCGCAGAGCTCTCTGGTGTGCTGCACCAATGTCACGTTCTCGCTTCCGAGATGGTTCACTTCATCCATCAGATGCAGTATTACATCACATTTGAGGTACGTCCTTCTGTATGTTTGTCTTTTTCCTGTTTCTCCTTCCAACATTTGAGCCATATTATTTATCATATTGTTTTTGTGTCACTGTAGGTGTTGGAATGCTCTTGGGATGAGCTGTGGAATAAGGTCCAGCAGGCTCAGGATCTGGATCACATTATAGCAGCTCATGACGTTTTCCTGGACTCCATCATTTCTCGCTGCCTGCTGGATGTGAACAACAGGGTACGATGCACTTACACAGGGTAATTGTGTACCGGTGGTGATCCCTCGTACTTGTCCTCATTTCTGTAACTCTGTTGTCCTCTGTGTGTGTTTGCAGTGTCTGTTGAATCAGTTGCGCGCAGTGTTTGATCAGATCATTGAGTTCCAGAATGCTCAGGACACACTGTACCGCTCCGCACTAGAAGAGCTGCAGCTACGCATCCAATTCGAGGACAAGAAGAGACAGAGGGAAGAAATGGTATGTACAGACAGTCAATCAAATCAGTGCTTTTCCACACATTTAATGTAAGTTGAATAGGTAATGATATTACAGTCATTGTGCTTTCATCCTGTATACTGTATGCAGTCCAAAAAAAAAAATTGGCACATTTTGACAAGTGAAATCAGAACATTTACCAGCTAGATAGTGGCCATGAAACTATTTTTTTTAGGTAATGTATTTTAGTTTTTTTAGGTAAAAACTACTGTATTTTTTCCACTTGAGAATGGGATTATTTAAAATGGGAACTGTTTATTCCTTGCAAACCTGTGACAAACAAGCATAGCATCATTATTACGTGCAGCATCACCAAAATATGATCCTTATATCTCTACTTTTTAAAACCTCCAGAATGTCTTGCCCCACAGATTTTCTACTTCCAGTGTAATACTGTAGACAAATATTGCTTTTAACTGATGGAGGATTATTTTTTAAAGGGGTCATATGATGCGATTTCATTTTTTCCTTTCTCTTTGGAGTATTACAAGCTCTTGGTGCATAAAGAAGATCTGTAAAGTTGCAAAGACTAAAGTCTCAAATCCAAAGAGATATTCTTTATAAAAGTTAAGAGTTAGCCACACCTACCTAAAACGGCTCGTTCTAACACGCCCCCACATACCTACGTCACGATCTGGGAAGATTTGCATAACGCCGCTCAAATATAATCAGTAATTATGTCCCCACTGGATGCAACAAATGCCTCGTTTGTAATGGGTTTTCATGTTTTTGTTTCGTCGCTCCGTCCGGACACGGCGTAACATTTCCGTCTCACACTTGAGGTATTCGGCCAATCACAACGCATTGGATAGCTGGCCAATCAGAGCACACCTCGCTTTTTCAGACCGATGAGCTTTGTAAAAATCGACGCGTTTCAAAAAGGCGGGGCATAGAGGAGAAACAATAATGTACAGTATGTGGAAAATAATGTGTTTTTTTTACTTTAAACCGCATAAACACATTTCATTACACCAAATACACAAAATAATGTTCTTTTTAGCAGCATCATATGACCCCTTTAAAAGAAAATTGAAAATGTATCACCATTTCCACAAAAATATTAAGCAGCACAACAGTTTTCATTGGTAATAATGCCATTGATAATAATAAAAAATGTTTCTTGAGCAGCAAATCAGCATATCAGAATGATTTCTGATGGATCATGTGACACTGAAGACACTGGAGTAATCAAAGCTGAAAATTCAGTTTTTCATCACAGGAGTAAATTACATTTTAAACTATATTTAAACAGAAACAGTTTCTTTAAATTGTAATATTTGACAATATTACTGTTTTTACTGCATTTTTGATCAAATGAATGCAGCTTGGTGAGCATAAGGGGTTTCAAAAACATTTGTAAAAAATTGACCAAATCCATATGCTCCAAAACAAAGATGGCCATTGCTATAACCTGAAGTTCAAAGAAGGCAAGACTTCTTTAAGCCAGAACATTCCTAATGGTTAAGTCACATGTTCAGTGTGTCCATCACTGTAAAGGCGTCTGATAATCTCCATGCAAAGAGAATTATGTTCCACTCCTTTATTTGAGTCTGGAAAGTGGCCATTAGCAAAGGTATAGGCCAAAACAAGAGTGGCTGATCCTTTTATGGGGACGGTGTTGGTTTTCTATTGTCATTAAGTTTTTTCTTTCTTCTGTAAACAAATGTGTGTGTGTGTGTGTGTGTGTGTGTCTTTTTCTGTGCTTGTTTATAGCTCTGTTTCTGTGTGTTTCAGGGTGAGTGGGGTGTAACAGCAGAGCAGGAGGCTGAGGAAAACAGACGTGTGCAGGAGTTTAAAGACACCATACCAAAAATGTGCTCTCAGCTCAGATTACTCACACACTTCTATCAGGTACCCTACATACCCTTTCATACACTTTAATATGCTCACCCAATAAACCAAATATCACTTCATGCATGCATGAAAAAGTGCTGAACCAGCAGGGATCAGCGTGAGAGAACATGCTTAATGGTGTATAGTAGAGCATTTTATGCTGATCTACACATTACGTCTGCTACAACACTTAATGTGAATTTTTTACAATTACAGCAGAATGTGGTTTATACTTACCACATATTGTACTTGATAATACTAGATAATAATGTAGAATGGACATTGATCGATCATGTTTATATGAACATAATTTTCTGATTAAAGCCCATATTCTGGTTAAACCCTTTATTATGGAAAGACATTTATTTGCTTTAGAGCTATTTGAATATGTTGGTTTTCTATTGTCATTAAGTTTTTTCTTTCTTCTGTAAACAAATGTGTGTGTGTGTGTGTGTGTGTGTCTTTTTCTGTGCTTGTTTATAGCTCTGTTTCTGTGTGTTTCAGGGTGAGTGGGGTGTAACAGCAGAGCAGGAGGCTGAGGAAAACAGACGTGTGCAGGAGTTTAAAGACACCATACCAAAAATGTGCTCTCAGCTCAGATTACTCACACACTTCTATCAGGTACCCTACATACCCTTTCATACACTTTAATATGCTCACCCAATAAACCAAATATCACTTCATGCATGCATGAAAAAGTGCTGAACCAGCAGGGATCAGCGTGAGAGAACATGCTTAATGGTGTATAGTAGAGCATTTTATGCTGATCTACACATTACGTCTGCTACAACACTTAATGTGAATTTTTTACAATTACAGCAGAATGTGGTTTATACTTACCACATATTGTACTTGATAATACTAGATAATAATGTAGAATGGACATTGATCGATCATGTTTATATGAACATAATTTTCTGATTAAAGCCCATATTCTGGTTAAACCCTTTATTATGGAAAGACATTTATTTGCTTTAGAGCTATTTGAATATTATTGTAATATAAATGTAATCAGTATATTTTGAATAAACTAAGACCTGCTCCTTGTTTTCTCACTATAATCTTGTGGAAATACTGGAGATATTAAACGCATAATTGGAATATGTCCAAATTTCATTATTAGAATTATCATGTAAACGTTTGTCTCTTTTCAGTATACCAATGTCTTGACGATTATTGATAATTATTTTGGTTATGACCAATATTATCAATGTTTATCATCAATTTGCATGCTTGGAGGTTTAAAAAAATTATATGTATTTTTTCAAAAATTAATATAATGTTTTATATAAATTTATAATGTAATTAAAAAAATATTAAGTATTAAAAGAAGAAAAATTCTAAAGAAAAACCTTTTGAAATCTGACAGTCATAGTTTAAAAATTGTACTGTATATTAAAACAGATGAATAAAAGTTTTTGAAAACTTTGACACAAAACCTGACAAAAAATGTTTTCCTACTTGAAATAAGTCCTGATATGATCTGCTTTCAATACGAACCAATACTGATAATTTCAAACCTGCTAATGTTGTTCAATAACGATTAGAGTCATCTATATACCACTAAAACTATTTAAATTATATTTATTTATTTAGGGACAATTCACAGTATATATACTGTAACATTATTAGCTTAAAGATACATTTCATCCGTTGTCCCTGGGTGGCAGCTACAATACCAAGAGATAGAAACATGTGAACTCAGTGTAAGAGTCTAGTAAGCTCAACGTTGTGTATAAACAAGCATCTGAAGCTCATATAACCCTGAGATGGTTCTTTCTCTTCTCCTTTAGGGCATAGTGCAGGAGTTTCTGCGGCTGCTAATGACAGATGAGAGTCTTCAGTTCCTCAGTTTCCGTCTGGACTTCAATGAGCACTACAAGGCTCGTGATCCGCGCCTGCGGCCCTCGCTAGGGGCCACTAGAGGGAGACGAAGCTCTAACATCTGACCTTGCAGACTTTGGGAAAGTTAATGTTATGTGGATGCTGTCAAGAGACTGTTTATTAATAGGGCTACTCGGAACTTTTCTGGCGCTCTGTAAGAAACTCGTATAACAGGGAAACTGTTTATAGAATATCCTATTTCACTGTCATCGCCAAATAATTTCAGTCACACACAGTCGACTATCTAGTGGTTTTACAGTGTAATTGTCAGTAGCACAAGGTCACAGGTCTGTTGTGGGGTTTTTTTTTTCTTCAGTTAATGTGTGAATATTAGTTTTTGTGTTGTTTTTGTAAAGAATTGTGTTTGTGTTTACATTTTTGGTAATATTTAAGTCTATTTGTTATTTACATTGATTGATTTTCTTCTAGTGCCCTTTCTTTTTTCATTTTGAAGCGAGTTTGTTTGCCTTAATGTCTCCTGATGTTGAAAAAAAAGGACAAATCTGGCTGTGAAGTCAGTCAATTTCTCTGGTGCTTTTGTGGCATCCTCTGGTTCTGGATCAGTGTTGAAGGAACCTTTTTCCTCTGAGTCCATTTTCATTATTACATATATTTTTGTTGTTAAGTTTGTAATTATACAGGCTGTGATCTTTGTACTGCGTCTAAAAAAAAAAAAAAAACTTAAATGTCAACCAGTTCTTTAATTTATATAAATGGACTTGTTAAATTACATGAACTTAAATTAACTACATGACCTCTGTAAGATCCTGTAAACTCCCCTCATTTCGTACATGCAAAATCAATTACCCACAATGCTGTGTGATCTTATCGAGCCTCAGGTTGATACTGTGAGGACAAAGTTACTATTCTGAAGTATTGGATTATTATGGGCAAGATTATAGATTACTGTTGTAGTGTTTATCCCTTGTCTTTCCCATGTTCATGAAATGTATTGATGGAAATGGCTTGGTAAAGCTGGTGAAAATTCATCTCGCCCTCCTCCCCAGTAGTGCACACTTTTGTGGTGAAGATGAAAATGGACTGATACATTTCTTTTGTCCTTGGATTCAATGGAAAAGACAGCGAGGTGCCACTGCAAGTTTTTTTTTTATCGGTCTTTTAATGTGTCGCAGAGATTTGAGGGTGAAGCAGAGTAAAATGATTGTCCATTAAAGGGATTTAACTCCTTCACTGTATAGCACACGTGTACAAAAGCAGAGTTCAAAATGAGCAAACATCCTGTCATTAGTTTCTCATACAAATAAACCTTTTTATATAAAATAAAAATGTGGTCACTTTCCTTTTGGTTTTAAAGGTAAATTCAAAGTGCAAGTATCAATAAAGCGGTGGTTCATAATTAAAATGTGAGCAAGATATTTTATTACTAAGTTTTTAGACTTAATTTTAATATTGAAGATCGTTAACTATTTGTGAAGTTGGTGTACTTGAGTTTGTTGCACTGATTTTATTGCCTTAAAATTACAGCTACAATAAAACTTACAGCTGTACAAACTATACAGCTGAAAAGATAATTGTAATGAAAAGCTTGGTTAGTTGTAATGGATTGTACAGTAATTGTACATTTATGTATAACTGACGTCAATTTTATTATTTAGTAATTTGCATATATTACAGTGTTTACAATACAATCTCATGCATATGGTATTAAATTTTAGTTTTTTTATTGCCTTAAAATTACAGCTACAATAAAACTTACAGCTGTACAAACTATACAGCTGAAAAGATAATTGTAATGAAAAGCTTGGTTAGTTGTAATGGATTGTACAGTAATTGTACATTTATGTATAACTGACGTAAATTTTATTATTTAGTAATTTGCATATATTACAGTGTTTACAATACAATCTCATGCGTATGGTATTAAATTTTAGTTTATAGGTGCCTTTGTGCGTGAGTGCGTGTGTGTGTGACAGAGAGAGAGATCTACTAGACAGTAATATTTTGCTAGGATATTTGTAATAGGATATTTTCTATAAGATATTATATAGATATTACCTCATGGTTTTCACCCAGAAATAATATTATTTGGGACCTACGGCGAGGTGGAAAAGCAGGTAAATATTTTTAATTTTCTTATTTTACACAAATTAGCCTATTTATTGAAAGAAAAAAATCAAAGAAATATGTATCTTTCATTCGTGAGAAATGTAAGTTTGTCAGTAAAATGCCACAAACAACCTAAATTTGCAACCCTGTTGTTACCTATCCTGGCATCTACAGACAGACGGACTGATTCATTGATTGCAAGAAAACTCCAAGATCACACAAATCAGAATTTTAAACTGTTTTTAGGCAGTTAACTTTTTTTTAGCTTATTATCTAGCCTGATGTACAAAATAAACAGTGTTTAATTTATACGGCTCGCTGAAATACTTGATTTTTATTGTTTAATCGCTGAACTGCGTAGTCAAATATTTTTGTATAATGACTAATAACTGTATGGACCGTTTTCCATAGCAACATACGAGCACTACTGTATTTTCAGGTCTATATTATCAACAACGCCAGTTAAAATCCGAATGGCGCCATTCACAAATGAAGTAACGTGTATTGCAATTATACTATATTAATATTAATGCAGTATTCGTCTTGTTGCTAGTTACCTTGTAACTGAGTATTTTTCTTATCGGAAGCTTAAAGCTAATCTACAAGCAGTTTACATTGTAGCCTACGCGTCATAAAAGGTAGATCATATGTCGCGATTTATTATGCAGTAATGACTTTACTGGCGCGAGTTTGCTCTTTGTTTTGACTATCATTTGTTTTCCTCTCCACGGAAACGCAGTCATGGCATCTTGAAATTCTGCTTCTCGACCACAAGGTGTCGCCATGTTCAGAAAAACCCAGAGGATCTCGGGCTCCTCGCGAAGTGAAAATAATACAGGTAATGCTAATGCAGTACTAAACTCATCCACGGTTCTTTGAGCTACATCTGTGCAGTTGTTTGCTTTAACAGTAGGGAAAACATTAAGCCATTTAATATTCATAAAAACATATCAAAATAACGGATATACCCCAGAACGAACCCAAATGTCCTTTCTTGACCTTGACGGTGATGTATAAAGCACCAGTGATGCTCTGCCCTCAGATGTCTGCAGTGTGTCAGATGTGATTTCAGTGCAGTCATTTTCTCAGACTCTGTTCTAGCTGCTAAAGAGGATAACAAGTAGATATGACATCTCACACGCTGTTACGTATATATGCTTAAGCACATGCATGTTTGTAGGTCATGTTCTGTTTTTGTGCAGTTTTCATAAATTGCTGTCATAGTACATATTAACATCACTCATGTGCATACGTGTGTGTGTGTGTGTGTGTGTGTGTGTGTGTGCTGACTCTGCCTGGACACACACACAGACACACAGACACACACAAAGACACACACACAGACACACACACACACACACACACACACACACACACACTCTCTCTCTCTCTCTCTCTCTCGCTCTCTCTCTCACTCACTCTCTCACACACACACACACACTCTCTCTCTGTCTCTCTCACTCACACACACACACACACACACACACACACACACTCTCTCTCTCTCTCTCTCTCTCTCTCTTCAGCATCTCTTGTGGCAGCAGCAGCACTGGTTTGAGCAGCGAGACGGCTTCCTCTCTCCCCTCATCAGATTCCTTCTCTCCTGAGCAGCAGCACAGCGTGTTGCCGCTGCTCCTGGTTCTCTGTGTCCTGCTCATCATGATCCTGTGGGTGAAGATGGGAGAGGACTCTCTGGAGGAGCTCGTCAGACGACTTACTGTTATCATACAAAAAATCGGTAGGAGGAGCTGTGAATGTGTGTGTGTATGTTTGTGAATCAATCAGTAGTATTGGGAGAAATATATGGGAACTGTAGCTCAAGGTTGTTTGCAGCTTCTGTTTGTCTTTGCTTTAGTAAATATTTGAGAATGTGTTGTGCTGATTTTACCTCTGAATAAATGAATCATTCTGACCCATGAAGCCATAACAGCTATTATATTTAGATCTTTATGTTTAGCTGCTCAAAATTGTTGCTGTTGATGACATCACTTATAAGCCTGAAACTGAATTCCATCTGAATTAGAACTTTCTCAATATTCTCAGTTAAAAACTAAACATTTGAATTTTAAATTGGTATTTTGAATGAGTTTTCTAATTAGAATTTAATTCAAAATTAAAAAAATTCAAAACACAAATTGAAGTTAAAATTTTAAAATACAAATTTCAAATTCTAATTTTGAAATTTGAACTTCAATTAGAATTTGAAATTGGTATTTTGAATGTGATTTTTTACAATTAGAAATAGAATTTAATTCTAGTTAAAAAATAATTGTGATAAAAATGCCACCCTCAAAATCTAATTATAATTTTGAAAATAGAATTTAAAATGGGTATTTTGAATTAGATTTTTTAAAAATTAGAATGAGAATTTTATTTGAAATTTGAACTTCGTTTAAAATTTGAAATTGGTATTTTGAATGTGATTTTTTACAATTAGAAATAGAATTTAATTCTAGTTAAAAAATAATTGTGATAAAAATGCCACCCTCAAAATCTAATTATAATTTTGAAAATAGAATTTAAAATGGGTATTTTGAATTAGATTTTTTAAAAATTAGAATGAGAATTTTATTTGAAATTTGAACTTCGTTTAAAATTTGAAATTGGTATTTTGAATGTGATTTAAAAATATATAATTTGACTATTTTTAAAATCACATTAAAAATTAAGTTCAAAATTCTGAGTTCTAATTAAGGCTGGCCGCACACGAGACGATTTTAAGCCCGATTTGCACCCCCGAACGATCGGCTTGTCACAAGCGATTTTTTTTTTCCAAAAAATC